ATTCGTCAGTAGACCCTTTTGGTTGCTCCATGAACACTTCTTCTAGAATACCATGAAGGAAAGCGTTTGATACATTCAACTGCCAAATAGGACAACTAAGTGTAACTACCAATGATAACCAATCGTATAGTAGTCGGCTTTATTACCGGTGAAAAAGTATCATGAGAAATATATACTTGACATGTGTCTACTTCATCGGAGGGTGCTTCATTGTGCATGGTCAATCTGCACTTCGCGTCTGCTCCAGCTTGACTCGGCTAGTGGTCGTTCTTATGTTCTTGCTGCAAATCGGCAAGGTTCATATACCTCTCTGCGCGAGATAAAAAATTCTTCGAAATCCAACTCGTGTCGTTTAGTAAATACACAATCAGCACACCGGAACGCCGTGGCGAAAGAAGCCATAAACATGTGTGCTACTAGCAAGTATTCGTACATGGGCCAATAAGAGCAACTCCAATGGGACTATCAAATGAATTATCAAATCTACAAACCACCTCTTTGATATCCCAAAATTAAAAATTTCTACTCCAATTGGAGTATCAAAATGGGCAAGTATATTGATATTTTACCTCTTTGAATGTAAAAATAGATCATGGAAATTGAGTTATCAAAAAGAAAACTACCTAAACATCCAATCACAAAATGACACCTGATAATTACAAATAAAACCACTAAAAAACTTCCAATTGATTATTAATTTTGATAAAAATGGTTGGAGTTGATAAATTGTAAATAGATATTAAAATATTATCTTAATTATCAAATGAGTTTTTGATAATCCAATTTTGATGTTTAGTATTGGAGTTGCTGTAACATTAGTATTATTTACTATGCTGCCACTACACAACTCATATTTACTAATATAACCAATTCTCTTTTTTTTAGCAGAAACTAATATAACCAACTCAAGCAAACTAAAAAAGAACAAATTAAGAGAGTATGCAGCTACAAGAATTCAAACCCAGACACAGGTGTATAAAAATTTGATTCAAAAATTGCCCTCTAAAAATCAAATTCAACGTATACCCTCTCAAATTTCTTCCTTGCACCAGGCGTCCTCCACCTGGCTTGCACCTTCCTCCGTTTCCCTATCACCAACTCAGCCTGTAATTACCAACGCCGCCGCTGCCGCCGCATTGACGACTGGCGGTGCTTCTTTGACATAAAGAAAGAAACGGGCCGCCAAGATTCGGTTTGAAACAGAGCCCGCCATTGAGGTATGTCCCAAACTTCGAGATTTGATTATTTTTTCCTTATTCATTTTGGATTTTGATATTTTCTTCAAGTATATTGTTTATGAACTTCTTCAAATGCGGCATGGCATCATCACGGTGGATCCTTAGAATATGTTGACATAATCAATAATTTAATTGGTTTATAGAATATATGGGGATGGATCATGGTTATAGAATCGGAAAATATCGGCGTATCGTTTTCCTCCGTGCATCGTATCGTTATCGTAAGATATTTAACCAACTATTAAAAATAATAAAATAGATATATCTACATAATAAAAATACTATATAAAATGTAAAATTTTATTTTTTAAAGTCAAACCACTCATTCCTAATTTCCAATGTTTTGAAAACCGGACCGGACCAGCCGGTCCGACCGGTTGAACCGGGAACCGCTCCCCAGTCCGGTCCGGTTAGACAGCAAAACCCGGAAAATGCCAAAACCGGGGTCTGAAGGATCAAAACCGGGAAACCGGTGGTTTAACCGGAAAACCGGAAACCGGATCGAAAACCGGGTTTTTGAGAAAATTGCTATTTTGTTTCATAAATAGTCATATCTGGTGCAGCAGTGGCCTTTAACAACGAAAATGAAGTTCATGTATTTCTACGAAATCATTAGAGCAAAGAAATTTATTGTTTGTTGAAAGATGAGAGATTGGACTTATGGTGTGGTGTGGCTAGGGGTGAGAAAAAAAAACCGAGGAACCGAGGAACCGAACCGAAAACCGAAAAAAACGAACCGATATGCACAGAGACTATATATATATCTCTATATATATAGATATATATATATATAGATATATATATATATGTTTATATATATATATATATATATATATATATATATATATATATATATATATATATATATATATATATATATATATATATATATATATATATATATATATATATATATATATATATATATATATATTTTTTTTTCTTTTTTTTTTTACTTGGATAAATTTCAATTGATTTTTGGGCCTACGTTTGGGCTAGTTTTTGGGCTGACTTTCGGGCCAAAATGAGCTCAAAACCGAACCGAAAAACCGAACCATTATTGAAACCGAACCCAGAATTTTATGAACCGAAAAGGAACCGAACCGAACCGAAACCGAACCGAAACCGAGAAGGAACCGAACCGCTAGAAACCGATCGGTTTGGTTTTTGGTTCCGTAGGAACCGAACACTTCGGTTCCGGTTCCGGTTTGTGGCTAAAACCGAACCGAACCGAACCGTTCTCACCCCTAATAAATAGGACAAAAGTCACTGCTGCTCATAAAAATAACATCAACAAAGTTCAAATTTTGTCATTGATATGATATCTCACGATATATAACGGTATTTATGCATAGCCAATACATATTATGAGTTGTATCATTTTGATTGGGACCATACCGTCTCGCGATATATATATTGCGGTATCTCGCGAGTTTAACTAATATGTTTGCTGCAAAGAAGATTTTTTTTTTAATTATTATTATTACTATTATTATTATTATTATTATTATTATTATTATTATTATTATTATTATTATTATTATTATTATTATTATTATTATTATTATTATTATTATTATTATTATTATTATTATTATTATTATTATTATTATTATTATTATTATTATTATTATTATTATTATTATTATTATTATTTATTTAATATGGATGATTTATAATTTGTGGGGGAGTTTTCCATCGATGAGTTTTTGAGTAAAATATTTAGGGTTAATATTGGAGACACCCCTCAAACCAAACCTAATTAGATGTGGGGCACAACCACAAATAAAATATTTTAATTAAAACCTTAGGTGAAAATAAAATTTGACGCTCATCCTTTTATTTTTATTTAACCCAAAAATACCCTTATACCTAATAAAAAACAAACCCTTATTTTTTCCGTCATTTTCTATTTCTCTCTCTCTAAACCGCCGCCCACCATCACCTTCTCTCTCTTTCTTTCAATTTTTTTGCACCCCACCATTGCCTCTTCTCTGTTTCATCGGCCTCTCTCTCTCTCTCTCTCTCTCTCTCTCTCTCTCTCTCTCTCTCTCTCTCTCTCTCTCTCTCTGCAGTAGTGGTCCTGATTTTGAGGTACTCGTTGTAGGAGGAGTTATTCAGATCGGATCTCGATGTGGGGCGGCGGACGGCGGCAGTTTTTAGTCGCGGGTAGCGGCGGCGGTTTTTAGTCGTTGGTAGCGGCGGCGGTCTTTGGTCGCCGGCGGTGATTGTGGTCGTTAGAGGCGGAGGCGGTTTTGGACGCTTACGTCGGTGGTGATTTTCTTCAACGCCGACGATTTTTATTTTTTTTTGTTTTGGGACTTTTAAATGTAGCTTAGTCATTTCTTGATTTCAAGATTGTTTTTCTCCACATTAGTCAATTTGCGTAGGCCAGAATTAGATTTTTTAGTGTATTATTTAATACTCCAACGTAGTCGGAATTTGATGTTGTGTTTGGAGGAGAGGAAGGCTAATTATGATGAAAAGTAAGACATAGAAGAAGAGAATAAAATGTTCGATGATTGTGGGCAGATTTCGAAGATTCATTTTCATAGGTGAAGGTTGTGGCGGATCTAGGGTTTCATATTGGATGAGTGCGTATGACTACTAATGTCTATGGATTACTATGAGTGTCTACGAATGGTTAGCGGTTAGGATTCAAAATGGGAGCTAGGGTTTAAGAGTACGTGACTACGGATTACTATGGTTACTACATGTGTCTATAGATGACTACGACCGATTTTGTTTAAAAAACATTCATAATGTTCAATATTAGTATACTATAGTACGCCATAGTATACGATAGTACACTACTTTTAAAATTTGCAGTACTATTTAACAAAAATGAAAAATATTATTTTTCGTAATTTTTAATAAAATGTTAAAAATAAGGAAAAAAACTAAGTTGCTTATAATAATGTAAAAATGCTAGAGTGAAAAATGAAAAAGAATATGTTAGGTGGAAGGCGTAATAAAAAATGATAAATGCAGTTTGAATTTTACTTAATGCAAATTTTGAATTTGTGAGTGGAGGGGTATTTTTGGAATGAATTTAATAAAGGATGTGAAGCAAAGATTTAATTGGACTTGTCATTTAGTTCTAATTAGTTTTGTCACGAGGGACCTATATCTTAAGGCCCCAAATATTTATTCGTTGTTCATTGTTAGGTGATATGCCTAATTGGGCCAATCCAATGGGCCTACAATCTCTTTACCTATTGGGCCACGAGCCCAATATCGAAGACTATTATCACCGAGGCCCAATCACCTTCAAATAAGGTTTGGGCCCAACAATCTTATCTAAGCTATAAATAAAGGTTTGAACTCATTCCTCAAGGTACGTCCTAATAACTGAGCAATACTACAATACGTATTCTCTGGACTATTTCTATGATCAGCACGTCTAACTTGAGCGTCGGAGGGGTTTCCGCTGGATCAACCCCCGGCGTAGTTCACGTGTGTTCATTTCGCAGGTACCTTAGGATCATCAAGTTCTCAAGCTACTGATCTGCTTTGCTCTCCCAGTTCGTTTTCTACACTACCCCAGATGATCTAAGTATTTAGCATCATCACTTTCTGAGATTTTGTTGCTTGATACAACTTTTCCTGACTTAAATCAAAACTCTGCTGATTTTAGCCATTAAGATGGGTAGGATGGAAATGTAGGAACTTGAGAATTCTTGGGATTTGGCAATTTCATTTTTCCGGTTGACTCTTGACCCATCAGCGCCTCGTGGTCATGTCTAATATAAACATGTTACTTTATGATCGAATAAGCAGTTTAACAGCGGCAGCGAGTTTTGCTTTTAGCAAAGCAGCGCCTTCTCTAGCTATTGCCATCCGATCGCTATCCACAATGTCTGCTTCACCTTGTTTAGCCATTACATTCTCGTACTTGCGAAAAACATTAGGTTTAATTCGACGAAAATCAATAACTATTTTCTTGAGTGAAGTCGCATTCTCAACCACATACTCAGCCAGTTCAACATCAATATCACCGCCTGCAAAACCTTCTATCTGAAGCACTTCAACACCAAGATGTCTATTTTGTGCTTTAACAGTATGAATCGTTCTTCGCATAAAATTTTCAGACCATTGGAGCTATCACCAAAAAAAAAATTAAATTAATTATATTTTTTCAGTTTTTTCGTTCGATTCGAAAACTCAACTCACCTTCAATACCAGCTCACGTAATGAAGGTGCAACACTCATTAGGGGAGTAAAACACAGTAGACTTTGATATCCACTTGGGCGCATAATATCGAGTACTAATTTCTTGAGCTTAGGTAAATCTGGACATTTTGCAAGTACATAATCCTGAAACAATAAGTTTAATCTCAACAATTTCAGACAAAAAAAAAAGAATTTATTAAGAAAAGAAAAAGAAAAAAGGATATAATACTAATCTGAAATATAGATGTGTGAAGTGTCAGAGACTCGAGCTGAGAAAGAAAACCCGATAATTGGTTCATATAATCAATTAATATCACAGGACTCATTGCCCCAAGGAATAAATTAATAAGAGACGAAACATTCTTCAAGGCAATGGGAATCCTATAAAACCCACAGAATGCAAACAAACGCAGATTCGGTGCGCAGATCTCGACGCTTTTACAAGCACCTGTGGTGGCTATTTCCAAACGCCTCAGCCGAATCAACGGGGAACTAATTGTCAATTTCTTCAGGTAGCTTGAATATATAATACATAATTCTTCGAGTAACGGACAATTGGATACGAAGAAGTTGAGAGTCTCTTCAGTTACCTCAACTTCAACCAGACTGAGTTTCACTAGCGATTCGCAACATGAAATGCCGAGAGGTAAAATACGCGAGCACTCGACGCTGTCGTACATGTTTGGGAAAGTGTATTGCGCATCTGATAAACCAGTTAGCTTCGAATCAAATTCAATTCTAGCCTTTTAACCTTCTTTTCAAATGCAAATTTTAACCATTTATATATATCATCGGCAGCACTCTTATCTAAATCGAACGATATTCGAAACTCTTGTATGGCTTCGCCAGAATGTAGGCTGACTACTCTGTTCACCCATCTCACAAATTTTGTCCTTTCGGCTTTAAGCGATGTCCTTTCTTGATCCAATTTGAAGAGCACTCTCGAAGCATCAAAGTCAAGAATCGAGCTGAACATCCAAAAGTATCTCCATCTGCGAAAAAGGAGGTTAGTCCTTTCTGCTTCTATCACCGGCAAGCGTGAAACAATCGAAATTAGCAGTTCATCGGGCAGGCGATCGATCGAATCTTGTGTACACTGAATAAATAAATACCAATTTATTTCAAGATATAATTCTCAATGCAGCTAATAATGTTCTATTTTCTTTACCTTTCTTAAAATCTTTTCTTTGGGTCGAATAAATACGAGAGCGAGTTAATTATAAATTAGCAACCCCTTTTCAACATATGATCAAAGCAGCTAAAAGATATAATCAAAGCAGCTAAAAGGTTCGATCTGTTTTACCTTGAGGTCAAAATTGCTCGTAATTCTATCTAACTTGACGTAAAATGACATAATTGCCCTGAAAGTTGAAGTACCCACCAATTTTACCCTCTTCTCTCTCATCCAACTTCATCTTCAAACTTCCGCAGAACTGTCAAAAAAACTTGTGAACGCCGTCGGTTGGAACCAGCTCCTCCGACGATGACCATCAGCAACCTCCCTTCTTCCTCAACTCCCCGCTTCCTTTGACCCATTAAACAACCCGAATCCGTCCCACTTTTCCCCGACCCGGGACGATGACCCACTCGAGCTTAATGAATGCAACTTCGCCTGGTTATTTTACCTTCTCGTATTCGTGCTCAATCATTTTCCCTTCTCTGAATCTTTGATTTGTTCAGTATTCCTTCGCTCACTCCCCATCATCTTCCACACATACATTTTTCTCTAGCGCAACTCACCTGTTCGACAATATGCCTCAATGAAAATTTCCTATTAGTTTTTCGAAATGTCGTTAGCCCATGCAAACTTTTGCTCACTCTTCCGTCCATTGACTCGTGCATTTCTCCACTATTCCTCATCATCCTCACAAGAATCCATACTCGCAGCAATCGAATCTAAGACATACCACAAAATACCCGACCTCCTCCTCAATAATTCCTCCTCTCGAAATCCAAATCCATTTTCATCTCTCTCCACACTTTCCCCAAGCCATAAATCCCTCGTCATAGACGAAATTCTTCAGTCCTTCATCTCCATCCGCCCCCGCTCCCGCCCCAATTCCGCCTACTCCCACCTCCTATCCTACATTCTCAACACCCAAAATCCTCTCCCTCTCGCCCTCGCCGTCATCCAACGCACCCTCCGCTCCGGCTGTCTCCCGGTTCCACAAACTCACCTCCTCCTCTCCAACGCGTGGATCCTACGCCTACACAAATATCAAGACACCGTTCAAACCCTCCTATCGGAAATGCGCTCCATCGGATATTCTCCGGATTGTGGTACCTGCAACTACCTCATTCTCTCTCTCTCCAAAGTCGATTGCCTCGAAGAAGCTCTTGGTGTCTTGCGTGGGATGGGGAAAGTGGGTTGTGTTCCGGATATAGATAGTTTCGGTATTTTGATTAGTAGGATGAGCGAGCTGAGAATGATTCTTGGGGTTGTGGAGATGGTGAAGGAGATGGTGGATGTTCACTTGCTGAGTCCGAGAAAGGAGACAGTTGTGAAAGCAGTGGATGCTATGAGGGCGAATCGGGAAATAACGAGGGCCGTTGAGATGATTGAGTTCTTGGAGGGTAAGGGTGTCGATGTTGGATTTGATGTGTATGAGTTGGCTCTCGAGGGTTGCTTGGAGGTTCAGAGGTTCGTTTTGGCGGGAAAGTTTGCGATTAAAATGACTGACAAAGGGTTCATACCGTATATAAGGGTGAGGCAGAGGGTTTTCGAGGGTTTGGTTGGAGTTGGAGAAACGGGGCTTGCTTCTGCTGTGAGACAGAGGTTTGCAGAGTTGAAATCTTGAGATTTTTGTTTTTTTAATTTTTTGGGATTAATTAAGCTCTATGTTGCTTGCTTGATTTTGTATTATATAATATATATATATATATATATATATATATCATGTGTCTAAAAAGAAAGGTTGCTAAAAGGTAAGTAATAATTATAAAAGAGAATCATGAGCTAAAATACAAATGAATTAAAGAATGAAGGCAGATTCTATTCTAATTACATGTGATACATGTGATACATGACAACTATAATGTTTCTTGTTTTGCGTCGAGTTCGTCCTTGATGTCTATAACCACATGTACATCATCGAGTTTTTTGTGATCCTTTAAAGAATCGAGTTTTCGGAAAAGGGCTTTTTGGGAAAGTTCATCTACAAAAACCGATATTCTCTCGACGCATTAATCACATCCACAAGTATGGATGTTGTGACAAGAGGTGGCATGATTTTTCCGAGGTCTATTTTGGTGGGGGTCAACAGTAACGACGACGAGTTTTCGAGTACGATTTTGAGTTCATCGGCTGCAGATTTCGAATTACATATGTGGATTCGAGCAACCGATAATTGTAGAACGGTCATCTCTTTTGTCGCGGAGGCTAATTCTTTCAGGGCCTTTCCCAATTCCGTGCTCAGTTTCTTGCATGCCGGTTCGATTTCTAGATCGAATTCCGATTCTGATTCCCGAGGTTTGGAGTTGATGCAATATCCAGTGCTAATTAGAGTTTGGATATGATTGGCACATTCTCTTGTAAGAACTCCAATCTCTAAGTAGTGTTTCCATGGATGATGTATCTAAATCCACCATATATATATATATATATATATATATATATATATATATATATATATATATATATATATATATATATATATATATATATATATATATATATATATATATATATATATATATAAATATAGTTACAGGTTTAATTTACTAAGCAAGGATTCCTCAGTTGCTTTTGAGTCTAGAACATTTTTATGGCCTTCCAGATACAACTTGTCAATCTTATCAGTAGAAATTTCACCACCATAGCATGTATTAATATTTAATATATAGTCAATATTAATTAATGAAATACACATTACGAATTTAAAAAAAGTAGTAATAATAATGTATTAATTCGGATCCATACCTAGGAAGAAGGTGGCAAGCTTATCAATATTTCCAGAAACAAGAAGATGCAAATATTGACCCGCCCAAACGGGGCAAACGGATACGGATACTAGGATGCTTATCGCCCCGCCCATGAAAATGGTGCTCAACCTTTGATGGCCCAATACCGGAATCTCGGTAACACGGTAACCCAATATCGCTACTAAAGTAAATGTGAGTATGAATATAACCACTCCATGATCGTATTTGTTTTTTATGCGCGGGATAAATCACATATATGTTGATGCTGCAGCTGCATATATTTATAAAAAAAATCTTAATAATAACTGAATAAAATTTATTATTTTTAATTTTCAGCAGGAATAGATCGGAAATTCGTTTAATTACCTAAAAGAAAGACCAAAATTCCAAGAATGTTAAATAATCAAGAGAAAGAGATAAGATGCAGAGGATAAGGAAATGTCATCTATGTATTTTTCATTCCAAGTGTTTCAAAAGACTTTACATCATATATATATGGTTACATATGGTAACCCTAATTGACTAGAGAGTGACATGTGTATATTAAGAATTATTCAGTGTATTTGTGCCGTTAGAGTGAGAGTGCTCCTGTGTGGTTGGTGTAATGCTATCACGCCCCCTCGAGCCAAGCTGGGAAGGAACGACGGCGAGGCTCGAACAAAGAAGAATGAACTGAGTTGTTGACAAAGGCTTCGTGATGATATCAACTAATTGGTCTTTGCTGGAAAGAAATGAGACTTCCAGTGCTTTTGCGTGAATCCAATCGCGTACAAAGTGATAATCTATGTCCACATGCTTTGTTGGGGAATGAATGACTGGATTCTTGGAAAGGTAAGTTGCACCCAAATTATCACAAAATAGAATCGGAGATGAAGAAGAAGTAATCCCCAATTCCGTGAGAAGTGATTGCAGCCAAAGTAATTCACAGGTTGCATTGGCAAGGGCCTTGTATTCGGCTTCAGTACTAGATCGGGCAATGGTAGACTGTTTCTTTGAGCTCCAAGAGACGAGACTTGGACCAAAGAATATACAAAAATCACCCGTGTATTTTCTATCATCAGGGGAACCACCCAATCGGCATCCGTATAGGCTGTCAAGGTATGAGTTTGAGACGACTGAAGGTGAAGACTAAGATCGATAGTGTTGGCACCAGATTTCTATTTGTAAAGATTGAAGAAATCCGCCATATGTGGAAACTAAAGATTGGCAAAGATTTGTTTTCCATGTTTATTTTGGAATTAATTAGAGTCCTATTCTTGTAATATTTTTATTAGGACTTAGATTTATTTCCATTCTAGTTAGGTATCTTTTGTACTTATCTAGAATAGAAGTAGAAATCGACTAGGATTCTATTACCTAGTTAAATCGATTTCTTAGGGCGCAAGTTAGGTTTAGGGTGGTGATTTCGTGCCTATATAAGGCCCTCAACCTCATATGAGTCCTATGGAGCTTTAATTAGAAAAATCCCAGCATAAAGGCTTTGAAGGGTGCAGCCCGTGCTGCAGCCCCGTCGGCACATCAAGTGTGGCAACATAACAGGTTTCTTCTACCAGGCCATAAAGAAGATCGGCGTTTCGAGAGAAGTGCTTAAAAGATCTCGGGAGAGGTCGATC